TGTATATATCTAGATATATATTAATAATTTGAATATAATTGTATTTATATGTATATAGAAATAAAAAGTTATATAATCACGAGTGGGCCTTGAACGTGCCGTGGCTAGCTACATGAGCGCTCCGTAAATGATTCAAGGCAATGGGACGTAGCCAAGTTAGCGATGGTAACACGGAGGTGAAAGTTTCTGAAAAGTGCACGGAGCTTTTGAAAAGGAGAAGAGGACACAGTGTTGCCAACTCCTCAGTAAGGAAAGTAGCTATTGGCTGTCCCAAAAGTCGCTAGAAGTCGCTAAATGACGTCATCGCCTAATTTGCATAATTTGCAATTTGCAAATAACTGTAACGGATGCTGTAGGAGAGAGGAATAAGGTCGTGGGAGAGACAAAAGTGAGTAAAAACACCCTAAATATGTTTAGAACTACAAATATACAAAAATAATTTCAACATTAACAACATTTAATGATTTTAATGCTTTGTCTAGATCCACATTACACACATCAGTTTTGTCCTGTATTGTTAAATGTTATAACAGCAAATGTAATCAAAAGATTGTTATGTAGGGTGAAATTGCTAGCTCTACAACCAACCCTCCTCCTTTATCCGGGCTTGGGACCGGCAAAGTGACCCAAAAGACACACTCTGGCAGAGTTACTTAGGTTTATTTTTGTAAGTTTTTTTTTTTTTTTCATAGTTTGGCATAACAAATGATTTAATGTGACCCACTACTGAGAGAAAACAGAGTCACGGACAGAGCTGCCGCGGATGGAGTGGGGGGTAGTGGGGGGTGGCGGTGGTAGGAGTGGCCGGGGAGCTTTGGATGTGTGGTGGTGGTGGAGCTGAAGTTCAGTCTGCAGCAGCCTGAAAACTTCCTGTGCTTTTGAGTCTCCTCTCTCTCTCTCTGCTCCGCCCATAGACTGTAGCTGGGACTGCTGCGCAAGGCTACTGTGAGACTGGCCGCCTGTAAGTGCTTTGGGACGGGGGAGGGGCTCACGTTGAGGACAGCAGAACAATACGTGCTTCACGAGTCTCCAAAACACCAGATAAGTCGCCAAAACACCAGATAAGTCGCCAATAACACCAGAAAAAGTCGCTAGATTTGTCGCTAGTCGCTTTTTTGAAAAAAAGTCGCTATAGGGGTCTGAAAAGTCGCTAAATCTAGCGACAAAGGCTAAGTTGGCAACACTGAGAGGACAAGGAAAATGTAATCCCGAACGGAGCAATAACAGCCAGCAGCCCGTGGACCGGTAAGCTAGGCGCGTTATCAGAGGAAAGGTAGGACATAATTAACGTTTACCAAACGCAATGCTTTTTTATTTAACGGAATGTACAATATGTACTTTGCTGTGACTGGGAATGGGGACAAGCATGTCTTGGTGAGCTTTTGATAATATCTTGGTTGCGATCCCCATGCAAAACTGCGTGATAAAAAGAGCCAATCAACGAGAGCGAACGGAAGAAACTCGCTGAAGAAAGGTGTGTGTTAGCAGGTCTTATATTCATTCATCAAAGCTAGCCTAGCATGCACGCACAATCACAATCATGGATCGTTGTTTATGGAAGAAGGAGCAGTATAAGTTGCTGTTGATAACAGTGAAAAATAAATGGAGGTGGGCATGGCTGGATGAGGTGGAGACGATGGGATTCTGTTGCTTCCTGGTGCAAAAAGATGAAGGTGTCCGGTGCTTGTTCGTACTTCGCTATTATTATTTTTTTATATGGGAGTAATGAGAAAACAGCTTTGGATTCACCACCAGCTCAAAACTGCGCACTTGGCAGCTGTCCGTGCACTTTCCCACACTTCTTTACCTGGTGCATCAGATTCAGCGACAACTGAGACTAGGCTTGCTCTGGTGGACTGTGTCTGTGACCTAAAACTAAGAGTCTGTGGCTTTATCGTTCAGAACCATCACTACCGCTGGTAGATTTAATTATCATTAATCATTTTCAGTTGATAAAACTGCGCTGTGCACTAGCACCAAGTTGATAGGGAAACCTTTTTCTTAAACATTGAGTGTCCACAAACAAATGTGGACAGAATTTTTAATGTCCTTTTGCGATATTTTGACGAGGACAGAGCCAAAGGACAACGCCTCATCTCGCCTCAAGTAAAGCCAATGATGCAGATGAACTACTCTCACTAATATTCTGTCAAAGAGTTGACAAGTTGCTTGATCCACTGGTTGTAATTTCACATCAAAATACACCAGTTTAAATGTATATCTTTGAAGAATTCTTTTGATCTGTAATTCATTATATTTCCATGAGAAAATTTTCAGTCAAATCTTTTTTTTTTGCTTTAACCCCTGGCCGCTTACAGTGTTGCCAACTTAGCGACTTTGTCGCTAGATTTAGCGACTTTTCAGACCCCTATAGCGACTTTTTTTCAAAAAAGCGACTAGCGACAAATCTAGCAACTTTTTCTGGTGTTATTGGCGACTTATCTGGTGTTTTGGCGACTTATCTGGTGTTTTGGAGACTCGTGAAGCACGTATTGTTCTGCTGTCCTCAACGTGAGCCCCTCCCCCGTCCCAAAGCACTTACAGGCGGCCAGTCTCACAGTAGCCTTGCGCAGCAGTCCCAGCTACAGTCTATGGGCGGAGCAGAGAGAGAGAGAGGAGACTCAAAAGCACAGGAAGTTTTCAGGCTGCTGCAGACTGAACTTCAGCTCCACCACCACCACACATCCAAAGCTCCCCGGCCACTCCTACCACCGCCACCCCCCACTACCCCCCACTCCATCCGCGGCAGCTCTGTCCGTGACTCTGTTTTCTCTCAGTAGTGGGTCACATTAAATCATTTGTTATGCCAAACTATGAAAAAAAAAAAAAAACTTACAAAAATAAACCTAAGTAACTCTGCCAGAGTGTGTCTTTTGGGTCACTTTGCCGGTCCCAAGCCCGGATAAAGGAGGAGGGTTGGTTGTAGAGCTAGCAATTTCACCCTACATAACAATCTTTTGATTACATTTGCTGTTATAACATTTAACAATACAGGACAAAACTGATGTGTGTAATGTGGATCTAGACAAAGCATTAAAATCATTAAATGTTGTTAATGTTGAAATTATTTTTGTACATTTGTAGTTCTAAACATATTTAGGGTGTTTTTACTCACTTTTGTCTCTCCCACGACCTTATTCCTCTCTCCTACAGCGTCCGTTGCAGTTATTTGCAAATGGCAAATTATGCAAATTAGGCGATGACGTCATTTAGCGACTTCTAGCGACTTTTGGGACAGCCAATAGCTACTTTCCTTACTGAGGAGTTGGCAACACTGGCCGCTTATAAAAAACGCTTATTAGTGATCATTCTATGATTCATATAGATGGTTCAGGCTCAGGAATTTTTTCAACTTTAACCCATGTGTAATACTTTTAAGGCAAATGCACTCTACAAAAATAAAAGTGCTCATTATATTCTTGTTCATGAGAATTTTTTTTTGAAATTAAAAGAGTGAAAACAGTTTAAGCTTGTTTCTTTGGGAAATGTTGTTTTAATGTAAAATTGTAAATGCTGATATTTAACCACAGTTGAACCTGACACAGTTGAATCTCACACAACAAGTAGACATAGTTCATCTTTGACTTGTTACCCATTAACAAGGAGAAATATCTTGACAGAGATCTGAACATAGTCCGCTGCAAGACAGTATTCAAGGAGATAAGATACACCTCCACTTCAACAGTCGCAGTTTCACAATGAGACAATTTAGCATCGATCAAAGAAACAGTGGCCTTCTTCCCAGGCCTTGCCCAGTCCCATCTGCATACAACCCCCGTTACCCAGAAGACTACAGAATTTCAATACAATATATTTTAGCCACATATTACTTGAAGTACAAATTACTACACTAAAAAGATAACTTGATAACATTCCATAAACAAAATTCTAAACAACATTGGACCGAGCAGGTGAATTTGGACTTTTTCCAAGGTACACCAACATGCCACGGACCACTGGTTGAAAAACACTGAACACTGATCTAAATCCATGCATGTGAAAACTAGTGATAGAACCAAACCTTTTAGAAAACATGGGTCACATGATGTCGCTCAGTCTTGTGTTGTTTTTGATGAAGATACTTCCCCCACGACAGTTTTGTGTTAAAGGAGCAGTGTGTCATAATGCGGCCAAAAGTTGTACTGCAGCCTCTCCCACTCTCCCAGACTCAGGTTGCCAGATATGCAGACGAATCCAGCTGGGACCATAACAGCTGAATAGACAAGAGTTTTGTCAACAACAAATCTATAACCAACACCTTTTTCACAAAGATAGAAATCCTGGTTTTATTCCTTGTTTTGTCGTTAATGATTTGAGAATCATAACGAGACCTTTTTTAGTTCTGCGCCACATGGTACTTTACCAGTGAGATTAGCTCCACATGGTGAGTTCTGGCGCCCGGATCCCAGACTTTCTGATTGGTGAAACGGTGGAGGGCGGGACATCGAATGGAAACAATAACAAGATTTAGAGGTTGGAAAAGTAATTTAGAAATCCAAATATCTCTGAACTACAGTTATCAGTTAAAGAAGTATTGGAAAAGAGTAGGTTTTATTAATGTTTTTTGACAGATTTGGGCCCTTTAATGATGACTTGACATGAAAATCTTACATATTGCAACTTTAAAAGTCCAAATTGAGCACATATGGTATCTTTCTATTTATATTTCAGCCCAGAGTCTGAATTGCATAATCATCACTCGACACACAACACACACATCAAATATTAAGACTTGTTTCACTGCCGCAGCAACAAGGACAATCATAACAAATCCATCTCATTGGACTCCGAGCACAGCCGCCGCGTCCCCGGAGCCCTTTACAGACACAACATAACGGAAGCGGCGTCAGCGTTTGCACCGTTCTGATTTATGAACATTTTAACTGGAGTAGGAGCGTTTTAATCAGAGCCGCGCCTTGTTTACAACTCGCTGTAGTACGTTTTAACAGCCGCTAAATGTAATTCACGACTCCATCTTCCCCGAATAAACCAAACAGGAGATGTTTATGCAGTTTGTGCTGATGAGGAAACATGTCTGCCACCGTCCAGGCTGCTCCAGCAGCTTCAGCACAGACATCAGCAGGACGGGAGCGGGGGTCTGTGGGAGGGGCCTCATCGGTCTGCAAACAGGGGTCAGTGCTCAGAAGTTTATACAGTTCATACACTTTCAGCAATTATTATTACTGCTGTAAAATGATTCAAATATTCAACCGCAAACTCGCAATTAATCGCACACTTTGTGCCTCTTGGAAGATTGATATTGAAGCATTTACAGCTAGCTAAGCTAGCTAAGACTTTACCAAGATTTACTTTCACAGCCTTGAGGCGTGATCCATTGGATCAATGTTGGGGTTTACCTCCAGAATATCACGTTTAATTCATGATGCAGATATGATCCATGATCAAGTAATGACTTTGTCTTTATTCATATTTCTTTGGCAGGAAATATCTAAACGATGAGTTTAGACGTATTGAAGATGGTACATCAGTCCTTTGGCCTGTTCTTTCCTCTGCACTTCTCTATAGACTTTATGTTTTTATAAATAAATAAATACTATTCCAAACACCTGTGCCCAGCCTGACTCCGCCCACATGGACATTTGAAAATTCTTTCCAAAAAGGGTGTCACCCGAGGACACACAAGAAGAAGGGCTTAGAGTTGGGCACAAAAAAATCAGACAGTTGTCATTGCTGCTTAAAGCAATAGTTTACACTCCAGAAAGTCTCATTTCACCCTCGTGAAACTTAGCTACAAACCTGAACCTAAGACACAGCATTATCTCAGCAGTAGTGGCTCTTAACTGATGTAATTAAATTAAATCAAAATAACTGATGTCGCCAGAATACTTAAAGCTGCACTAACTGACTTTATTTTCGTATTCATTATGAAAATGCTATCCATGTCCATGTAGTGCATTGGGATATACGTCCTTTTGAAGAAAAAGTAGCGCAGATTTGTGCTGGCGTGACATTATATTTTAGATCGAGTTTTGATGAAACAAGGAAGAGAATGTGTTTCGGGTCGCAGATTGTGACCAATCACAACGGACCACTGACCCCCACTTTCGTAAGAAATCTACAGGTCCGTTAGCATAGACGGCTGAGTTAGCACAACAAGCGGCGGAGCTAACCTGAAGCTTCGTGTCTTCATCACCGGTTACTGCTTACACAGCGAAACAGCCATCCAAAAGAAAGTCTCGTTCCTCCGCTCTTCCCGGTTCTATCGTTTTATGGTCACGCCATCCACGTGTAAATCCATATCCATGTATTATCCATATTGGGAGACGCTAGCTCCGTCCCAACACTGTGTGTGTGGGGGGCGATAGCTTCGTGGGTGCGGGGAGGGGAGCAGAAAGAGCGAGGCCAGCGAGTCCGCGGCTTCAAAATCCCAAAGTCAGTTAGTGCAGCTTTAAACCGTGTGTGAGACTTGGATGGTTTTATGCCACTGCCAGAGAGTGATGTCACACATCGCTCCAGAGCCAATGGAGAGGCCAGGACCAAAATCAAATCTAGAGCCGCCAAAAATGTAGCGAGGGCGCCACACAGACATATTAATGCAGTTTATGAGGTGGAAAGCTGGACAAAAGGGGAAACAAAAGAGATTCAACTTTACTGCCACATCTCCCAGCCCGACTGTTGCATGAGCGTCAACCACTCAGCCGCTGCTCCATAACCAACTCTGTGTGAATCAAAGTGAAAACAACCAAATCAAGGTCCAAAGAGCTGTGTCTTTGCAGATAAAACCATAGAAGAAGAAGCTGAAGTAGCCGCTCTCCAAACCGTGCAGCAGGAGGTGCATATGGACGTCTATCACACTCTTTCCCGTCACAAACTCTGAAAAACAAGTGCCGCCCTGGATTTACGCCAGAACCACAGATTGAGAACCACTTTTTCAGTCCAGTCCGACGTGTCACAGTCTCACACGGCTCTTTCTCAAGTTAGATGAAGACAATATGTGGATGGGTGGGGGAAGTTTTGCAGCTCAATATGCATTATTTAAAACAATTCAAAGAGCTCCATGTTACTGATCGATTTAAAAATGGCTTAACAATGGACGGATTTATGGATTTAATGACGAGTGTCAATAGTACACTGCAAAAAAATTCTCAAATTTGGCAAAATGTGTCTTCATTTGAACACATTTTGACTGCCTTAAAACATGATTTGCCATCGGGACAACGCAAAATGGTCTTGTTTTAAAAAGACGTTCTTGAAATTAGACTAAATGGCTTGTTCCACTGTTCCAATGACCACATTCTGACTAAGAATGTAGTCAGAGTGTCTCAAATTAAGATAAAAACCACTTGATTCAAGCAATTTTACTTATAATCCGTATTATAAGAGTGCGCTGCTGTGGTACACTGGAAAAAATCCCTTGGAAAAAACAACATATACAAATGAAACTGCTTAAAATAATAAAAACTGATCTGCCAATAGCACAAGAAAAGAAAATGCTGAAAATAATAAAATAATACTTTCCCCAAATGACTTTATTCCAGTTCAAAAACATACATTTCAAGTAGTATTTACTTATTTCTTCTTTTTACTATTCTCTTCTTTAAATATAGCATCACAAACTTACTTTATCCAAACAAGAAAATTTGTCTGGAAAAAAGAAAAAAATACTCAAGCTGTTCAGACTTTTTTTCTCTGATAAGATTATGAAGTATCTTGAAAACTAGTAAAATAATGTTACAAGAAAAACTACAATCAAGCAACAACAACAAAAAACAAGCCATTGAAAAAATATGCATAATTTGTTTTATTTAGTAAATAAATCGGACCGAGATTTGTCATTCTTCAGTGTAGCAGCTCCATCTCCTCTCATGTGGTTATATATAGAGGCTCCATCAGGTAACAGCAGCCGAATGCCGAGTCGGAGAAACCATGAAATGTGACATTTTGAGCGCATCAGGCTGGACACGGGGGCGAGAGGCGTGAAATCCAAAGTGTCCCGGACATAAGAGCGCTGTTCTGCCGCTCGCCACGCTCTCCACGCTCGCCACGGTCCCGCTCTCATTCGGCTTCTGCGCCTCACACTGTTACCGCGGATTGCACCAAGATGTCTCACTCTCACACAAATAGCCTCTCGCTGGCTTTTTCCAGGGGTTTTATTATCATTAGTGATGGTTGTGGAGCAGGGCGACTCTGAGAGCACATACCTCTGCCCGAAAGGCACTGTGCCATGCCTTTAAAACACGGGTCTCAAGCTCATTTCTCCATTTTGGTCAGGGGACAAAGAGAAAAAATATAATATAATTGTTTTTTTTTTAATTATTATGCAGGTATTACGACATGTGGTTCACAGAAAGACGGTCCTGGGTTTGACTCCACCTCCAGGGCTTTTAGCGTGGTGCTTGCATGTTCTCCCCATGTCTGTGTAAGTTGCCTCCAGGTGCTCCGGTTTCCCCTACCACTCCAAACATGAACAATAGGTCCAGCATGCGCTTCCTGTACGCCAACCTCGCTCCCATCCCATGTTTATTATAATTATATAAATATTGATTTCTTTTACATGCAGATATCCAGTTTTTTTTTTGGTAGAGATTTTCTTTGGAGCAGGATTTTACTAATACAATTTTGGGTTCATTAATTAAAACAGAATAAGTGTATAACATGCCATGGTAGCACATATGAAGTTACAAGCCTTTATTGACTATTGACTCCTGATTAATCTGAATAAACAACAGACCAGTATGAGGATAACGGGTGGGAAGGGTCAGGGTCCGCATGGAATCTGTTCGGATGTGGCTCCCGGGTCCCACTTTGACAATTTTGATGATGCATTGGTTTTATACAGCACTATTCCGGACACTTAAAGACGCTTCACATGTCATTATTCATTCACTCCATACGCGATGGTGATATATTACAGTAGCCACAGCTGCCCTGAGGCACACTGACAGACACAAGGCAACCAGTGTGTGCCATCTGCCCCTCCCACAACAGACAACACTCATTCTAGGCAGTGTGGGTGAAGTGTCTTGCCTGAAGGACACAACAACAGTGTGGTACTTTACAGCCGCAGCCGCCCCACTGTGGCTCCTGGTGTTTTCTCAGAGGTCTCCCATCACAGTACTAACCAGACCCTGTCCTACTTAGCTTCAGAGGTTTGACATGATATGGCTTTTGCATGCACTTCACTGAGGTCTCACTGACACTTACAAACGGACAAAGAAAATACAAGTATAAAAAAAGGTAATTGTTTTCAGCCTATATGGTCCCCTTTAATAGATCTTCTCCGTGACTGGCCCCTGGTCCTGGTCCTCGTCTGGTGATCGTTACACCGGATTGCGGCGAGGAGCGGCGTCGTGGTGGCGTCCCTCAGCTCGGAGCCCTCGGGGGGGTGTAGAAGAGGAGAGGAATTACGATCGGACCGAGTGAAATGCGGCGGCGTGGCTAAACGGACTCCTCATCTGAAGGGCAGAGCGTAATTAAAACATGAAACGCAGAGCAGTAATGTGCAGTGGCAAAAGCCCCGGGGCCACAGATTGCGACACCAAACTTTATTCAGTTTGAGCCCTGGGGAAAGAACAGATGAAAACAGACCAGAGAAATGGTGGTTGTTCAAATAGATGGACTCAAAACCACCACAGAGCAAGAAAACAGCGACACTTGGATTATTTTTTATATTGCGAAAATGTGTGTTTGTTCCACAGACTGTAAATATTAACGCCTTTCTCCGCCGTTCAAACTAATGTGACATCACTTTTACCGACTGTGGTCAGTTTGAAAATAGCCGCGGGGGCAGGAAAATATGAAAAAAACTAATTTGTGCATGCGTCAGCTGCACCAGCCCCATAGAGACTTCAAAAATTCACAGCGACTAAACACCCCCTCAGCAGTGACACACATGTGGAACGGAGCTTTGGGCCAAGAGCCAACTTTTGGTCCATCCTGTAAAGACGTTTTTGAGAGGTCTGCCAATGCTATATGTAGCATTGGCTAATTCTTCTTCTGGGTCCACCCCCATCGGCCCGGGGTGGTATTGCAGCATGTCAGCGCACGTCATTTTGGCCACTTTTGAGCTGGGACCCGCCCCCACTGGTTTGTACATATTTTTTTACAATTGTGGTATATTGGATTTGATTTTTTTGTTTTTGTTAATTGTTTATTTGATTAACGACACAAAATACACTCTGTAATACAACCATAAAAGGATTGGGCTGAAGCAACTTGCAAGCGTTAACCCGTCCTGTCCATATTTGCTTTCATCTTTTTTTTCAGACATAAATTCAATTGGTTCATTCAAAAAAAAATAGGAATACAAATAAAAAGTTAGGCCATGTGACAAAATGTATTCTAAACATTCTAACCCTAACACCAAAAAATGTAGTCAATAATAACGATCATTCCTTATATTTGGTCGAGTTTTGGTGATCCTACCCTGGCCTTATCCATCCGTACACTGCGCTCAATCATCATTTCACTGCATGTAGCGTCTGGGTCTGGTCCCTGTGTTAGCGAATACAATTGGTCGTATTTCGACCGGCTATTCAAGGCGGGTGTTGTAGGTCGGTGCCGGTGACATCAAAAGTTTGCGCCGAACGGGCAGGTTGTGGTTTGGCAGTGGCGAAGAATGCGATAGTAGAGTAATCCGGTCTGGTTCTATCAAGAAATTGAAGCAGGAGCAAGAGGAATGTTTCGCAAATGTAAATTGCTGGTCAAGATTGTGGCGCTACTCCCCACGGGCTCCGTTAGCAGCAAAGGAGATGGCTAAGGCTAAATGCTAACAACACGCTCAGGCTCATTACATACGTCACAGTAAACTCAGATCCAATCGTTTCAATCTGCAAAAGGAGTTAACCCCTCCCACCTGTTAACGGAGCTCAATGGAGCAAATCCAGACCTTAGTATGAATGTGATTTGTACTATGGTGTGGTACAACCAGGCTAGTATGATCCTAAACTGGACTGCTGTATTGTGAACTATTCTCAAATAGTTCAGAAAATTCTACTTCTGTAAACTAACTATTGTATTTTAACCACTTCCATAACGGCTTCATGGAGAGAAAGTCCTTTCTTTTCATTTTCAATCAATCAAATTATATAAAAGGCTTTTCCTACAAAAAGTGCAACACAAACTACTTTTACAATGTTTCTGATGAAAAAAACCGGAATAGTCAGAACTAAACATGGGGAGGCAGCATTTCAGATGGATGCAGCTAAAATCTAGAACAGTCTTCCTGAAAATGTGAGACAGGCTTCTTCTCTGACAATGTTCAGATCCCGGTTAAAAACAATTTGTTTTTGCTGCGCTACAACTGAAGGATTTTATCTTTACTATTTTTAAAGGAGCAGTATGCAAAAATGCGTCCAAAAGTGGTACTGCAGCCTCTCCCACTCTCCCTGACTCAGGTTGCCAGATATGCAGACGAATCCAGCTGGGACCATAACAGCTGAATAGACAAGAGTTTTGTCAACAACAAATCTATAACCAACACCTTTCTCACAAAGATAGAAATCCTGGTTTTATTCCTTGTTTTGTCGTTAATGATTTGAGAATCATAACGAGACTTTTTTAGTTCTGCGCCACATGGTACTTTACCAGTGAGATTAGCTCCACGCGGTGAGTTCTGGCGCCCGGATCATGGACTTTCTGATTGGTGAAACGGTGGAGGGCGGGACATAGAAATGAAAACAATAACACAATTTAGAGGCTGGAAAAGTAATTTAGAAATTCAAATATCTCTGAACTTCTGTTATCAGTTAAAAAAGTATTGGGTAAAGACCATGTTTTATTAATGCCTTTGGACAGATTAGGGCCCTTTAATGATGACTTGACATAAAAATCTTACATATTGCTACTTAAATGCCTAGATACCTCTGCTTTAACTTAGCTTCAAAATTATACCAATAGAATTTCATGCAAAATCCAATATTTAGCAAAACCAAATGGACGGACTGAGCTGAGATGTGGCTTGTAGATTAGAAAGATAACATGTAAATGGTAGGTAGACTCATTTCCAGCCAATCTGTGTTGTTGGCGGGGTAGCTGTTTTTCATATATGATCATCTGTAAACCTGGCAGGACACACACAGAGAGCACTGCTTGATGCTGTAGTGACTGTAGTTTTAAAATGTGTTCATTGTTCCCCCATATACTGATTTAAGCACATTTTGTCCATCACGACTTCCTTCAGTCTCAGCCACAAGCAATTTACTTTCCAGACTCCGCTTTGAAACCACAGAGATAATAGCTTATTGTTGTCCCACCGCTTTTCTCTCCCCCCCCCCCCCCCCCCCCCCCCTCAATGTCCAATTTAAGCCGTACACATTTGACAAAAACATCCATTTAAGGTGGAACTAATCAGGCTATTCGTTTGATCATTTCCCTTGGTTTACACCTCTGAGGGAGAACAGAAAGAAACATACATGCTTTTGTCTGAATGTGGCGAGAAACAGCCAGGGACGACTTCACATCGCGAACAAAGCCACGTAATTATTGGCCCGTTTTGATTGACAGACTCATTCGCCACAACAGGAAGAAGGTTCTTTATTTCATTTTTTAGTTTGATTTTGGCGAGGTGACAGCGGCTGACAAGACAGACACAAGACGCTCATATCTTGGCTCCGCATCGGCTTCTGATGGATTTTGTTTTTGACACATGGGTCTGGCTTGAAATCGGTTATTTTTATATGATACTTATTGCATTTTGTTTAAAGGGGACGTGTACAACCGGCTTACATAGCCTAATACAGGGGTGTCCAAACTTTTTAGTGAGAGGGCCGCTTTGGTTCATCAAACTAGTCCAGGGGCCGACGTCACGGATTATAAAATTGTCTTGACTGGCATCGGGCTGTTCTGAGCTTTATGATGATGTCTAACAGAGCGGAAGTTGGCTGAATGACACATGTTTACCATCTCTCCAGCTACAGTAGCATCATTAACGGAAGTTTGTGACACATTCAAAAACCCCGTCAGTAAAATATGGACGAAAAAAGTTAATGACTGAATTCCAGACGTACTGGGCTTTAGAAAGAGTTATGACAGGTCTATATTGGCTGAGCTGAAGTTGGATGGATGACACAGTGAACTTGTGTTTATGATCTCAGAGACTACTTTGGGTTAGAAAGGCAGAGGGCCACATGAAATGACACTGACAATTCATGACAATTGGCCCCGGGGCCTGAGTTTGGACATGCCTTCTCTTGTTTACAGTCTCATTACCAATCCTGGGTCTACAGCCTCGATCTACAACCTCAGTCCTGGATCTACAGCCTCAGTCCTCGGTCTACAGCCTCAGTCCTGGATCTACAGCCTCAGTCCTCGGTCTACAGTCTCAGTCCTCGGTCTACAGCCTCAGTCCTGGGTCTACAGTCTCAGTCCTGGATCTACAGCCTCAGTCCTGGATCTACAGCCTCAGTCCTGGATCTACAGCCTCATTCCTGGGTCTACAGCCTCAGTCCTCGGTCTACAGCCTCAGTCCTGGATCTAAAGCCTCAGTCCTCGGTCTACAGCCTCAGTCCTGGGTCTACAGCCTCAGTCCTCGGTCTACAGCCTCAGGCCCTGTTTATACTGAGACGCTGCGCAGACGTTTCCAGGCTATTAACAGAAACGACCTGGCTCCTAATGCAAATTTCTCAGCGTTCACATGAGGTTGAAAAACGATGTAGTTCTAGCGCCCGGCCAGTAGTTGGCAGAGAAACTTTACAACACGACACACGACCCCGAGCCCCGTGCCCAGCCCCCCCCTCGGCAGTATATTCACTTCCTGTACCAGACCCTCAGAACGCAGCAACCGACATCCAACTATACCGTTTTACTGCCACATTGTCTCCGTGTTAACTCAGCCTCAGTCCTGGGTCTACAGTCTCAGTCCTGGATCTACAGTCTCAGTCCTGGATCTACGGCCTCAGTCCTGGATCTACAGCCACAGTTCTCATTACACACATGTTTATCCGCATAGCTTCTAATAGTTTCTATTTAAATAATCCGTAATATAAATTTTTTTGACCGACCGGTACATTTTGCCGGTAAACTTTGTGTTTTTCCCTTTCCCATATAAACAACTCTCTCGTCCCATTAGCGTCTCCAGCTTCTTGCCTCTTCAGCACTTCTCTATTTATCTGAACACACGCCATTTTTATCATTCAGACAGAACACCATTAACCGCCCTGTTTTCCTCTCACAAAACAAGAGCCAAAACCTAAAAAATGACTTGTTATTGCGGGATATTAATAGCAACATAAAACAGCATAATGTACCACGCTCTAATTATGAGTTTGGAGGCAAATAAATATTGGAGGAGTTGCGCTTATTGGGAAAAGCCGACAGGAAAATAATCTTGTGAATTTAAGCGTTCTTTAAGGTGGGCGCAGAAGCAACGAGGCTATGAATCATTTCACAAGTTCCACTCTATACGAAGGAAAAGTTGGCAATAT